TGGCAGGTGGATTGATTTATATAGCAGCTTATCAGATGTGTGATGCACATCTCAAAAATGTGACCGAGTCTGCTCAAATACAGGACTGTAGCTCTAAATAACGATCAGATATTCTGGCCAATATGGATCCTGTGAAATATGCCAGATCTGCTCCTACTTAGCACCCTTTGGTCTCAATCTGGTACTCTCATTGTTCAACCCATTTTTACAGGTCTTCTCCTTTCATACCTGCACTGGTGGCCAGGGAGCGAGCCTCCACCTTGTCTCCCATTCTGCGGACAGTTTCTGGGGTTGGCCCGACAAACATCACCCCTGCATCTGCGCAGGCCTGGGCGAAGTCTGCACGCTCAGAAAGGAAACCGTAGCCTGGGTGGATAGCATCCACGTTGTTGTCCTACAATGAGAGAGAGAGAGACAGATAAAGTTATTTACATTCAGGACATTTCTCTGTGCTGTGCCTGTTGACTTGGGCATTACTGCTTTGAAACTCATCCCACTAAAGTTAATTAAACTGAGAAAAAAAAATTCTCACTATTAAAGCATGCACTTGCCTAATTTTATTCACATCTAAATTTAAGTCCTTGCTAGTGGAGCACACAGAGGAAGGGAGCGTAGTCCAGGTAAGCAACAGGAAGCCACTGCAGGGCCCCAGTTAACACTTGGCTGGCTATTACTGAGGGAAATGAAAAGTCATCGCACACACTAACCTGCATGCTTCATCACATACACACTGTCTGCTGCCCAGTGAAAAGGATTTAAGTGTCATTTAACAGCAATAGGACTGTGGGCTAATGACATTTTACTCTCATTCTGTCTAAGCTGCAACTGCCCTGATAATCATCTTCTTAATGGACACTAGTAGGAGACTGAGTGAGTAGACAGGCATGCATAATTTGTTGGTCAGAGGGAAGGGAAGGTACTGAGAGGAACACACATGCCCGCGTGCACACACCAACACGGAGTAGCAGACAGATACAGTAGCTGCCGAGCTTGACAGATAGAGCAGTCTCTGGATCAGTATGTGCCATCTGCTCTTGGATATGAGATGGACTATAATTATGGGCTGTCCTGTTGTGTGCCTGGCAGGCCAAAGAAGGCATGGAGCCCCCACCACACACATACACACACACACACACACACACATACACACACAGTGCAGCAAGTGCATGAACACAAGCAGCCACAGACATGGAGAGGAAATGAAGACTCTCAGGGTACCATGCATTCATACAAGCAAGATCATACTGAACCAATTGTGCTTTTACAACTGCAAGCAAACACATTTTCACATACAACAGCTATGAAGACACATACAAGGCAGCGGGACAGAGAAGGATGGTTATTTTGGTCACACAGTAACAGAATGAAACAGTGTGAAAAAAAGAAACGCACACTGAACAGGAAAGATCAGGAGATACAGAACCCACATACAGTATACAATCGTGTAATAGTTGTGAAGCTGCTCACTGAAAAGCATGCAGCTCTATGACCCAACCTTTACCCTAACCTGAAGCCTAAAACCAAGCACAACCCTCAAAAAGCCCTTTCAAGTTGTGAGGACCAGCCAAAACATCTTAACAGCGATGGCACCAAATAAAAATCTGTCCACACAATATAAAAAAAAGACACACACACACACACACACACACACACACACACTCCTTGCTCATGTGAAGTGGCTGGGCTCCCAGATAGGCAGACGGATTCCGAGAAACAAGTTGGACTGCGAAGGCTCCCAACTTGGTTGGCTGACCACAAAAACCCATGCAGAAAATTATAAACCGAGAGAGATAGATCAGAAAAATGATAACGATTAACTGGTAGCATATCTTGGAGGGAGAGAGGAAAGGAGAAAACAAGGAACAGATCAGATCCAACACAGTGAGAAGCAGAAGAGAAAAGACAGGGAAGGAGACTGGGAATCCTAGGAAAAGGAAGGAAATGGTGGAGGGAAGCAGGACAGAAACAAGAGGAAGAAAAGAGAAGGAACAGATGAACAGGGGGCAGGTGTCCAAAGAACGGACAAAGATTGTTCCCTTTTCCTTCTTTCCAAGCCAAATATAAATTTAGGGTGAACAAAGGATTTGCCCGTCATTTTTCTGCCTAAATGTAGTCTTTGTAGTACAAACCTTTGTAGTCTGACATCAGTGATGGCAAAGGACAAGATGTGTTTGACGTGCTGGTAGGCATCATTTTGCACTTTGGACGGAGCTGAAAGATCAATTTCCCCAATTCCAGGCTTTATGCCGAGCTAAGCTAATTGCCTCCCAGCTCCAGGTCAGATACTATACCCTTCTCATTTCGCCACCAGTACAACTATTAAGAAATGAGGCCTATGAAAACAGACTGCAAGCTGTTTCCAGGTGTATACTGTCTGTATATGTTGTCCTGGAAAAGGTTAGGAACCAAGCTTTTCATTGACTGGAAGTATACTGGTGACATTAATGCCCTTATAATATTCCCATTTTCTGTTGCATCTTCAAGGCATTCTGCAGTAATCATGTACAGCACTTTGATCAAACTTGGGCACCTGCAACACAGACTTTTATATAAAAAGCTCTTTCAGTCCCTAGTGCAAGTCAAGCTACAGAAACACTGAACCCAACACTTCCTGTAAGGCATTTCAGTTGCATTTTTTTTGCTAGATCTCCCAAACCGATGTTTCAAAGTTTTGACAGAAATTTGCAATCTTCAAAGCTCAAGCTGAGAAAACCCTAATGACATCACCAGGGACATGTTCTCAGACTGCAGAAAGCTCCTCCAGGGCCACAGAATTCATTCAGCAGTAAAACTGCTTCCAGAGGCTGAGTATTAAACATGACAGGTTAAGTTTCCCTTGAAACTACTGAATCAGTTTACCGATAAAGTGAACAACAGAAGGGTTATTCCTTAGTTCTTTTTACACCACCTTGTGGTCAGTGAGCTTTACCTTGGCTACTCTGATGATGTCAGGAATGTGCAGGTATGCAGCAACAGGTGGCAGGCCTTTCCCTATCAGGTAAGCCTCATCTGCCTTCTGCCTGTGAAGACAAGGATTTACATTAATGACAGGGAAGGAGGCCAGAAAAGTCACACACACCAAGTTCTTAAGACCGTTATGAAAGGAGAGAGAGAAATAGGTGGAATTAAAAGCCTATAACTAGATGTATTAGTTATTAGTGTATCAGTGCTCAGTGGGAAACGCATTATGTTGTTTTTGGTTGCAAACTAAGCCGGGTGATTACCCAAATGTTTGTAATGTCAATACAATTACACTTATGTGCCTCCTTGACACCGACTGCCAAACAAAGAAATGGGCCAAACCACTGAGGAGGAGAAAAATGCCTCCCAGCTTCCTCTAATTACTGCTGCCTCTAATCATCTTTTAAGCAGTTTGTGGTCAATACCCAGCAGTTTAGCGAGACATCTGCCTGCTCACGCTTTCTTCACTTAAACCACTTGTTCTGCTCCGACAAGAGGTCCATTACCTGTGCATCTGTCCAGTGTCTTGCTCAGAGTAGACAGCCACGGTTCGAATCCCCAGTTCAGTGCAGGCTCTGAAGACACGGATAGCTATCTCACCTGGAAGACATGAGGAATGGATGGTGAATGAGCTGATTTTATTCACTTTGCAGCTGCATTGTGTTCTACTTTGACAGTTTTCCTTTAAGTTTCCTTTCCTTCAATTTTACTCCATTATTGGGAGGCTATAATTCGCTCATCTACTTCTCATATGATTTTATTAACATCCCGTAGCACTGGCCTTATTTTGCAATTAATGCCTCAGCTGACAAAATCAAATTTTTATGCCATACAGGAGATGTGAAACCAAGATGAACCCTTCTGGTGTGCAACAGCACACAAATATCTGCCGACATCACGAGTTTACTGTTCCATAAGAACAAAGAAAAATCTCAGTTTTAGATGAGCAAAACACTGCCTTTTACATTCCTGTGTCAAGAGCAAAATACTTTTCCAAGCAACATGAAGAAAAATGGTTTATTCCCCGTTCTTGCTTTAGAGAGGACAGCGTTGAAACATTTAAAAAGCAGGTTTAAAAAAAAAGCGATCAAGGATGATATGGGAGAACACAACACAAGATACAGTATGAACAAGAGCACTCAGAGCACATGTACCTCTGCCAAGTCACAACATTCACTCACACAAATGGGTCCCTTGTGAAAAATGAGATCCAGAACACCACAAAACGCATCTTAAAAGTCCTTGATCTGGATCATCTTTTCAGGTGTGATGGGTAGTTAAACTGTGCATCTCGCCTGAACCTTCTAGGGCTCCATTTTCATTATAGGCCAAATAATGGCAGAACTACTAAATGGGATTTTCAACGCTAATTTAGATGGCCATCAGATCCAGAATCCAGATCAGATCTGGACACAATTTAGTCTGATACACTGCCACCCTACATATGCATGTCAAATTTCAAACAAATTTCGATAACTTGACAGATTCCCCATGTTAAAGATGGGAATTTGTCATTTTTTATATTTTTGTGACCCCGACCTTTTTCAGTCAAAATCTAATCACTTCTAGGGTTGGTCACCACCAGTGCTGGTGATCCATCCAGCCATTTGTCCATAATCCTCATAACCAACACAAGTAGCCAAACACATACTGTACCCTCCTTGGCAGAGGTAAAAGTCAGTCGAAATGTGATTTAAGAGAAATCTAGGAGGTAATGTCAGGAAATACAGAAAGTTTAGAAGACTATATAAAAGAAAAAAGGACGAGATTTTAAAGAATTGAGGTACCAAAAACTGTGGCAAGTTTAACAATGTAACTAAATAAGTAAAACGATAAGAGCAGTGGAGGGGGAAGAGGAAAATGAAACAATGGAGAGGAGAACCAAAAGGACCAAAGTCACAGGGGGCAAAAGGCAGAGAGCAAGCAGCTCGGAGGAAAATCACATCTGACAAGTGCTGGAAAAGACAGCATGTGGCAGAGGAGAGGAGGTTAGGGTAGGAAGGGAAGAACAAAGGAAAGGAAGGAGAGGACAATATTAGAGAAAGAGCAGAGAAGCAATGGCAAAGGAGATGTGCTCGGTGAAGTGGAATCTGGGCTGATATGATACGACTGTCCAGTCTCTCCCTTTGTCACACACAAGCAGAGCACGGTCTGGTGCACTACAGTGTGATGAATGTGATCTAATGTGATGCTGATATTGCGTCACAACGTGAAGGAGAGAGATTGATGGAAAGCCCTGTTTGTGCGAGTGCATTTTGTTTGGGGGTATGAGGAAAAGACCACAATCTATATGAATGAAATTGATGGATTAAAGCAGTTAAATAGCCTTTATAGGAGGTAGATATGAATGTCTGAATGCATACGCCGATGTATGATGTGCAGCTGGAGGCCTGTGGGGGTACCACATGTCCAGAAATGGACCCATATAAGAAACCCACACACCAATCAATCTGAAATAATGAAACACTGAGCCATATCAAGCATTTTAAAATGTGCCCACTGGAATAAAACAAGGCTCTAAAACCAATTAGAATAAAATGCATGAACACACATATGCCAGTCAGATCCTCCAC